CGCCCTCCAGCACAATTTTCCATCCACTCGACAGCTGCTGAGACCCAGGGCTCCCGCCCTAGCCCTGCCCACCCCCAAGCACCGCTGCTCGGGGGTGGGGTCACGCAGGCCCTGAGCACCCCTTCCTCCCTGGCAGCCAGGTTGCCGCAGCTTCCTGGGGGAGGGGGGACCCAGGCCCCACTGCCTCATCCAGCCCCTCCTCTCATCAGATCTAGCCCCACTTCCTCCGGGCTGGCCTCCCACCGGGACTCCCCCACTCCCTGTCCACCAGGAGGGAGCCCTTCTCTCATGCCCACAAGACCCCACGGCACCAGCTCAGGGACCCTAGTGACCCCGTGCCCGCCACGTGCCCAGCACACTCACCCACATAGAAGGTGTTGGGTGCCGCCCGGTCCCCGAGCTCCAGGTACAGGAGGTTGGTGGTCTGCGGATCATGGCGCAGCCACAGCGCCACGCCAAGGATCACACCGCCGGCCAGCTGGGGGGACAGTGGGCGAGGGGTGACCCGTGGCCTACAGTGGGGACAACTCCACCCGGGAGGCCCCCACCACCCCAACCCAGGTCAGACCATAGGAGGATGCCAGGGTCAAGGCAGGGCACACATGTCGTGTGCTGGAACTTCTAACCGCCCAGGCATCGGTGTACCCCAAGTACTGCGTGGGCCATGTTTATGAAACACCCCCAATTCCCCCCTCAAAAAATCACCAGCATCAAAACGCAATGTATCGGTTCCCGATATCCACATTTACCCGGGCAGCTCACCCCAAAGTCAGTGGTTTGAAACCACCAGCAGTTGGTGCCGCAGGAACAAGATAAGGCTTTCTACATCTGGGACACCTCCAGGGGCAGTTCTACCCTGCCCCGTAGGGTCACTAGGAGTCACTTCCACTTGATGGCAGGGAGTTTGAGTTCTCCCCTACTGACATGGTCAGATTCCAGACAGCAGGTCCCTCCAGGAGAGGGGGCACACTGGAACTCAGGGGAGATCCGCCTGACCACAGAGTCCCTCCCAACATGACTGCCGAGCTGCTGCGGACCATGCCCCACCAGGCTCACCCAACGTGGCCCCCCCCAGTCGGTGCCACCCTGGCCTGTCCCTCCCAGAGGCGGGCTGTGGCCGACCGGTCGATCTGCCAGCATGGTCTTGGATGCATGACCCTGGAGAGAGGCACTCACTAAGTGAGGAGTAGGTGTGTGCCTCCCCCACAGTCTGACACCCCAGGAATGCGAGTGTCCTCCACACAGAGGGGGCGGTGGCCACTGCCCCAGAGGGGGCTGGAGACCACATGGGGGAGAGGGCTGGGGCGTCCAGGCAGCCACAGGGGAGGGGCCTGCTGGGTGACAGGACAGACATTCAGTTGGCAGTCGGCCTCCTGCCGGGCCTGGAGAAGAGGGAGAGGTGCTTGGAAGGGGACTGGGGGCTGACACTTGGTGAGGGTGGGGTCCCCCTGGAGGACCACACAGCCCAGACCCCAGCTGCCCTCTGGGCCTCTCCTTCCCACCCCACCCCCCCCCAGGGCAGTGAGGAGAACTGGGCCAAGACACCCTTCCCAGTATGCCTGCAGCTTTTCTTAAACAAAGGCAACCTCTCTGGGCAGAGAGCCCAGAACCAGTGATAGTGGGCGGACTCCAAGAACTGACCGCCAGGGCCCCCCTACCGTTCCCAGCAGGCACTGCGACTCCTGGATGGCCCCATAGCAGCCCAGGAACCCCACGAACATCATGACAGCGCCCACCGCGATGAGGATGTAGATGCCTGGGGGCAGGGGGAGCGGCACCCTCAGCGCTGACCCACCCCAGCCCCTCCCCCCACCTGTGACCTCAAGGGCCTGTCAGATGGTCCCATGTTGCTTGTGCAACAACAGCAGCCGTCCACAGGCTGGGGGCGGGGGGACCATGCTGCCCGGAGCCTGGTCTCATCTGGTCTGCTCAGGTCCAGGTGGCTTCCTGTGTTCCCCCTGCCCGCCCCCACTCCCCCTATGGCACCAGGGTAAGCAAGGGCATCCTGGTGTTCTTCAGACCCTGGGGGCCCACAATCGCCAAGCCCCCAGCTGGCAGCTTCCACCTGAGGTGAGGCTGGGACACAGGCAGGCCCTGCTCCCTGGGAGGTGGGGGCCGGCTTCCCCTGCCCCCAACTCCTCCTTCTGGGGGAGGACAAGGGACCCTTGTCAGGCTCCCATCTTCCGACACTGGGTGGGCATGGGCCCCGCCCAGGGTATAGGGGGTGGTGGGGGTGGTGGTGATGTGTGTGTGTGTGTGTGTCAGCTACCCCGAACACCAGCCTACCAGGCCCTGAGCTGATGGGGAAGGAGCGAGATGGGGAGGCCTCTCTGCCCTCCTCATTCCCCAGCGCAGGCCGGGGTCGCCCTGCCAAGAGGCTGGACCCTGTGGGAGGGACTGGCAGCTCTGTTTGGCTGGGCCATGCCAGGACCCAGTTTCAGGCACCCAGTGTGTCCCTCCCCTCTCCCCCTCCCTCCTTGGGGCAGAGGGCCAGAGCTGGGGTGGGGCTGCAGAGGCCTGGGGATAATCAGCTCCCAGCCCAGCCCCTCTGGGCCAGGCCAGGGCAGGATGCCCCAGAGCTGCCCTTTAAAGGCAGAAAGGTCAGGGTGTCCCTAGGGTCCGCCCACCCAGTGCTCTGCATAGCTGGGCGCCCCTCCCTGGGTGGGGCCTGCAGTTGGTGCCCCC